TAACCCCCCGAAACCTAACCCTAAACCTAACCCTTAACCTAACCCTAACGCTAACCCTTAACCTAACCCTAACCCTAACCCTAACGCTTAACCTAACCCTAAATCTAACCCTAACCCTAACCCTAACCCTTACCTTAACGTGAATCAGCTTGCTTTCAAAGCGCTTTTTAAAGCGCCTTTTTTTCTCCGTGGTCGCTGTTGTCGCGCTGCTGATGACGTCAGCGACGCGCTTTAATTGGGCGCGCTTTAGTGGACCGCGGTTTTGCCGTGCCACGACTTGTGTTAGCTTTTAAGAGGCTACAAATCTCTGCTGTTTTTACCACAACCGACTAATAAACTAACAACCTCCTTGATCCTGTTGATGGGATGGCCAAATATTTTTATTTATTCATCAAATTTATTTGCCGCCCATCTCATGATTCAGGAGACTCTTCTATAGCAGAAATACAGCAGAATCTCAAGTTCTCCAGGCATTCCTCAACTGTCACTAACATCTAATCTCCAGGCCAATAGCGACAGCTTCTATGAGTTGGTTAGTCACCAAAATCTGGAAAATCTGGGTTACTGAAGTACAATAATGTCTTGAAAATGGTATTGAGCTTCTGAGGGAAAAGGCACAAACAAAACTAATTGTATGTTTGTTTGTTTATTTTAGAAAACTGTTGTGTTATCATTCCATATGAGAAGACCTACTGCTCAAAGTACTTTACATTATTTGTGTAAAGAATGTTGTGTAATATTTTATTAAAGAGCAAAACTGTGGGATAAAAACTAATTATAAAGATTCATCTAGATTCTGGATGTTTATAATAAATATTTGATTTATTCTAATAACCATCGATTTATTAACATCAAACTCTTAATATAAAATAATTTTCCATTTGGAATATGCCTATATTATAGATACTAAGATCCTTTGCAAGAAATTATTTTAACATTTTTGTGTTTTTGCCATTATAATTAGTCTCTTCACATGCTGTTATTTCACAAATCATGCTATATTTATGTGTTTATCTTGTTTGGCATTTGGAAAACCCAACACACTCAGGAATAAAGAAGCCTAAACAATAAATATGAAAAACGTATCTTAAGAATTAGCTCAACATAATTTATAATGTGTAAGCTTTTATCTTAATTGCATTTTTCTTTAATTTATATACAGCATCTGCAAGCATTTAGACATCTAATCCATTTATTTAAGGTTGCCAAATATTAAATGGTTCCGCTTTTTATAAACAGACAATTTTTTTACACATTCCCCCAAAATTCTCACTATCCAAAATTCTGTACTGAAAATTCTCATGAATTGCTAGAATGATATTCAAACGCTACCTTAAGTAAGCTTTATGAAATACTCTGAAAAACTGTGCATGTCAAATGCATACACCCTCAATGAAATGTATTACAGGTACTGTTTATAGCTGGATTCATCAAATGTGTTACTTCCTAAATCGAGAAACATTTGATTGTTTCTTCTGAATATTACTAAGTCAAAATTATGACGGGTATTTTTCATGCTTCAGGATATCTTTTAAAATGCCGATGTCAGCCTCTGCTTTACTGCTGCTTCGGCTGCCATTGAAACAGGGAGGGGGGGCCTGATATTTGGGAAGGGAATCATGATGTGCTGGAGGAAGATTCTAGACGCTGACCTGACCATCTTACTGCGCATGTGGAGGAAGGGAGTTTTCCGCCAAGGTTAACTATCCGGCATTCCATCCTGGTGATGTCTTTTGAAGATATCTCC